CTCTTTATATCAGGCAACCCAGTTGTGTTCCTCTGCGGCCAGATTAAACCTTGTTGTAGCCTATATATGCTCTATTAATTCTTTTTTAGAAACCTCGCACTTTTCTACTCAATTTTAAACATTGTAAAATTTTAAACAAATAAAGCGCGGTCCACTGCTGCACACGTGCCACAATATCGATACAGGACCAGCTGTATCGATACTCGTATCGTCAAATCTCTGTGACGATACATCGTCGTATCGATATTTTGAACACAGCACTACCATGAAAGTAATCAGTTGTGTATAACTGTTTTTGCAGGCAGTGTGGGCGTTAGGAAATATTGCCGGGGATAATGCAGAGTGCAGAGACTATGTCCTCAACTGTTGCATCTTGCCCTCTCTTCAGCAGTAAGTGTCCTCTACTGATCCCAGCACTGTGATTGCATGTGTTTTTATTTTGCTGCTTTTAAGGAAGTCTAAAATACCTGGTGAAAGCTATCTAGTATCTCTATGGTACAGGTCCCTATATCTTTGCTGAGCCAGTGTTAAACGATCCTTAATAAATAATTCTGATATGCTGATTTGGTGCTTAAGACACATTTCTTATTATCAATATTGAAAACAGTTGTGCTGCTTAAAGGGATAGTTCACCCAAAAATGAAAATTACCCCATGATTTATCCTAGGTATATATGACTTTCTTCTTTCGGATGAATACAGTCGGAGTTATATTAAAAAATGTCCCAGCTCTTCCAAGCTTATTATGGCGGTGAATGGCTGTTATTTTTCAGTGCTCCAAAAGAAGTTAAATAAAGTGCATCCATCCATCATAAAAAGTGTCCCACACGGCTCTGGGGTGTGAATAAAGGCCTTCCGAAGTGAATCATGTGTTTTTCTAAGAAAAATATCCATATTTAAAACTTTATAAACCGTAATCTCTAGCTTCATTATGAATGACATGCTACCCGGCCACACCTTGATGTCTAGGTTGCTTTAAGTTCCAATCCAAAAAAACCTACTTGCTGTTCTTTTCTCATTACAAGGATTATAAAGGGGTTCAAAATTAATCTCTTTGTGTTCAAGGAATTTAAATCTTGTTGGTAGAAGTCTTATGATTAGGAGCCTTATCCTTATAAGAACAGCTGACGCTAAATAAATCTCAATTCCTCATGTCATTCTGATGTCACTCACAAACAGTTTTTGTTTCCCACTGTCAAACTCGCTGGTGTGTGCTTTGTGACATTTATCTGCTATAGTGTGTTTGTTATATAAGAGACTTTACCATTACCTCCATCTAGTGGTTTGATTACATAGCACATCAATTTTATTCTTCCCTCGTTTTTGCAGGTTGCTTGAAAAATCAAACCGGCTCACTACCACCCGGAACGCCGTGTGGGCGCTATCCAACCTGTGCAGAGGGAAAAATCCGCCTCCGGACTTCGCAAAGGTGAGTTTGCAAACCAGTTCTGCATAAACCACATTCCAGTTGCATTATCAAATTTCAATGATGCACACAAACACAGTGTTTTATGAACATGATACATGTACTTGATCAAACAACTGTTGTTTCTTCACAGGTGTCACCAAGTCTGAGCGTGCTCTCCAGTTTGCTCTTCAGCAGTGATCCTGATGTTCTTGCAGATGCCTGCTGGGCACTTTCATACCTGTCCGATGGACCCAATGACAAAATCCAGACAGTTATTGACTCGGGCGTGTGCCGCAGGCTGGTGGAGTTGCTCATGTGAGGACCGGACATGCTAATGCAAGCAATAAACCATGTGATATCTTTTATCACTGACTTAGAATAACATCCATGTGTTATCCATTCACAGGCACAGTGATTACAAGGTGGTGTCCCCTGCACTTAGAGCAGTGGGGAACATTGTAACAGGAGATGATATTCAGACCCAGGTAGTGTAGCTGTCGTTTATCACATGCTGAGTTGTCCGCATTTTCAAAAAAGTGCATTGTTCTGATCTGTTGTGCTGCTCTGTTGTAATTCAGGTGATTCTGAACTGCTCCGCTCTGCCCTGCCTGCTCCATTTACTTAGTAGTCCGAAAGAATCCGTCAAAAAAGAGGCCTGCTGGACCGTCTCCAATATCACCGCTGGGAACAGAGTGCAAATCCAGGTACTTCAGACTGACTGAGACACTGTAAGATTATGATACCATATATGTTGTGTCTGAACAGCCATGACTTGATGCTTATTCTGTTGTAGGCGGTAATCGATGCCAACATATTCCCAGTGCTAATCGAGATACTGCAGAAAGCTGAGTTCCGTACCAGGAAAGAGGCCGCATGGGCAATAACCAATGCCACCTCAGGAGGCATGCCAGAGCAGATTAGGTGCACTTTGGGCTTTTTTGTTTTGGTTTTTACTTCTTTCCTTATTTAAAATGTATCTTATTTTCCTTATGTCATGCATGCTAAACCATTAAGGCATACTGCCTTAGGTTATCATTTAGCCATAATCTGTCTTAAGACAGTCTTGAAGAGCTTAGTATGATTTTTTTGGTTAGGCTAATAACAGTCATTAGAGCACAGAGTGGGATCAAAGCGCATGACACATTTCTGGCCTGTAGATGGCAGTAATAGTGTGATTTTTCTTTTTTTAAATGTGGTAATGTAAATATTAGGGCTGTCATTTTAACACATAAACAAAGTGAATTTAAACGATAACAATAATAAAAAAGAGTACTATTAGTTATACCTTAAATTCAGTTTTTAAATAAAGATAAATACCAATTTACTTTTGAAGTGGTATTTCTATCTGACACTCCAGAAAGTCCTCAATTGTTAACTTTTTATTTTAATTTTTAATTTAAGCCACATATGCATTCTAGGGGAGAAAACTTTGTTCTGGGGGACTATTTAGGTGAATGTTTAGTGAGACAGAAGTTGATATAAATGTGCTTTACACACAGGTACTTGGTTTCTCTCAACACCATAAAGCCCATGTGTGACCTGCTGACAGTGATGGACTCCAAGATTGTGCAGGTGGCTCTGAACGGCCTGGAGAACATCCTCAGACTGGGAGAACAGGAGTCTAAACAGAATGGAATAGGCATCAATCCTTACTGCTCTCTCATCGAAGAGGCTTACGGTAGGCATGCCTCACCTCATACCTTGTATCACCTCATGGTAATGTAATTTTTGATTTCTCACTCTGGAAAATCAATTCTCTCTAGAATTTTTGTAGTCATTATAAATATTTCCAGTTATTCTCAGCTCTGAAATATTTAATTTGTTCAAAATTGCTCATTTGTCAGCAATTCTATTGTAGCGAATCAGCTCATTCATGGGGAAATATGAATAATTAATCATAACTAGTTATAATTAATTATAATATTTAGATCCGCTGTAGATATTTACTTGACCTCTCAGGGTCAACTGTCTGTCAATTCTAAGAACGTTAATTTCCTGGTTAAGGGAAATAACTTTCTTACTGTACAATTCTACAAAGAGCTTGTAGCATAAATCTGCATGATTAAGTGACTCCAGTTATGAGCAAACAATGAACAACGTCAAGTGTGATACAAGTAAGACTTTATTAACCACATAAACACTTAAACTAGTCTAACATACTACATAAACACTTAAACTGGTACATACACACACTGGTACTAAACTAACATACACACACACACACATACAGTTGGTATAGGAAAGGGTTAAAGCTTAACTCAGTAAAGAGGAGGGAGAATAAGAATAGGAAGTTATGGAACCATTTGCATATTCAGCAGATCTACAGCCTGAAGGGAACATCAAATTCTTAGTTCAAACACACCTTTGTAAAAAGGTGCAAATGATACCTAATGTATCAATTAATAAGAC